TGCAGTTAAGTCAATGCAGGAGAAGACAGTTACATTTCAACAGGAGAGAGACCAAGTCACGCTGTCCCTGAATGAGAAACAAATGGAAAACAATACCCTACAGAATGAGATATACTTTCACTTTAAAGAAACAGTGAATCAAATATTAAGTTTAATAAATATTAAGTAAGAAAACTGGAAAGTTTTCAATTAAAATGAATTTATTTCCTAGGTGATTTTTNGTGTAGAGACAGTGGAAGCAGATCCTATACCGAAGCGAGGAATGCATTTTGATTTTCCTTGCTGAATTCGAGTTGTTTCTATTTCTAATAATTTCAAGTTATTTTGTAAATAAATAAATATATATATATATTTTAATATAATAAAGAGATCTATAAGAATGTCTAAAATGAGTGGCTTTTAAGAAGGTTCAATGTTGAGTTCTTATAGTTTTTATATGTCACTAAAAAAATGAGAAACANGGGGGGAAAGGAACATTTTGTAGAAGAAAAAATAAAGAAATGTCCTCTACCTAGGTTCAACATTTATGTAACAAAGAATTACGGTTAAACCAGCAGCTAGAGAGATTGCATAATCATCTTTTAGAATCAGAAGATTCTTATACCCGTGAGTCTTTGGCTGCTGAAGATACAGAGGCTAAACTAAAAAAGAAAGTCACAGAATTGGAGGAAAAGCTAGTTTCATCCACTAATGCAATGGAAGATGCAAGGTAACTTTTTCATTTTTTTTTTCATTAACTTTAACTGAAAACTTCTTGAGTGTCAGACTCAGTAAGCATTTTTCATGTTAGCTCATTCTCATAAAATTCATTATCTCCTTTTTGCAGATATAGATACAGGGTAAAGAGATTTAGTAACCTACCCAAAGTCAGGCACACAGAATTTATGTGTGAGTTCTGCACTCAAGTCTGAGACTCTGAATCTGGCTTTCAAACTCTTAATCTTAACCATCACCCTAGGCAATTGCCTCTTATCATTTTAGGGATATAGTCTGTAATTCTGGCTGATTTAATTAGCTCTGTTCAGCTCCCAAAGAAATAATTTAATTTATGTGGGTTTATTTTTCATCAAGTGGTCTAAGGTTGAAGTAGGTGTAGATATTAGAGTAAAGGAAGTAGCAAGGTGAAGGAACTAGGTCAGTATGAAGAATTAGCTCTTGGTTTATTAGGACTTTTAATTGGCCAGGTCCTTGCTTGGTCCCTGCTTATCTTTTTTAAAATTTTATTTTTCTCAATAAAATGTTGTAAAATGTTTTTTCTTTTCTTTTTTTAATTACAAAAACGTTATATTTTGCACTTCAGGAGAATCATTCAAACCAAAAGAACATAAAGCAGAGTCTCACCCCCCCAGTGATAATCTTTTTTTGTACCCTTTTGTGTTTTTATATTTGTTTATATATACATATATATATATAACTTATCTTTTTAAAAGCAAAATTGAGATCATACTATTCATACAGGTTTTGTAACCTGTTTCTATCACTTAATAATATATGAGTATCAGTACACATTCACGCATATGTTTCTGCAATATTATTTTATGATGAGCCAGTACTTGGATTAGCCATAATTTCTTTAACCCAACCATTTATTATTGGATGTTTCAAGTGTTTCAGCTTTTCAAAATTACTAAGAGTGCTGTTGTGATATCCCAAAGCATGTATGTTTTGTGTTGATGACAGATTATTTCCTTAGTGTAAATTTTGAGAAATGGAACTTCTGGGTCAAGGGGCATTTTAAAACTTTTGAGATTGTACTGCAAAATTAATTTCCAGAAAAGATGTGTCCGTTTATATTTCCATTTGTGGTATGTGCATCTTTTTATTTATCTTTTTACTATGTATGGTGCTGATGGAGATATTAGAAGACAGTAGACCCTTTCTGTCTGCAAAGATTATAGGTCAGTGAGACAGTATTTCTGAGGGTGAACCCCTCCTCCTCCCTTTGCATGGAGTGTTATTGTACCTTCAGATTCTCAAGGGAAACTCATTTAAAATGGGAATTAAAATGAGTGATCATTTTTG